TGTGAGGCCAGTGGGGCCAAGAGCAGGACCTCCCTGGAAGATCTTAATCTATGAGACATGGTAACTCATCAAAGTAGAATGCAGTAGAAAAAGAGGATGATCATATTACAGTTTGGTAGACTCAAGTAAGCAAGTTGCATCCCTTAGTCTGAAAGACCTGAGTAGGACAGTTGATGGCTGGGACTCTTGGAGGACTTTTGCTCATAGGGCTGCCATAGATTGATGGGCACTTGACAGCAAATAATAACAAAGCAAATATAATGTTCAAAAATGTATTTTTGAACTGTATCTTCTAACATCTCTCATGCTGATCATAGAATTCTGGAAGTTTTTGTCCCAATCTATAATTTTTCCAAGCTTTGAGTATGAAAGTTCGAGCTTCAGGAGATCTGAGTAGCTTTCACACAGATGGGCTAGATGGGGATGAGGTGTCTGACTTAGTATAAGGCAGTGTCCTATATTACTATGTAAATAGGAAGCTAGGCATAAGGCCACTGTTTTCGGTGGCAGCCATGGGTTTTTGGTAATGTCTAGGTTTGCCTTAGGCAAACCTGAAATTTGAGGGCATGTAAAACATTAAAAAAACTAAGATTATGGCAACAAGAATGATTGACAACTGGGAAGTAGAGGGGGAAACGTAGAGGCAGTGACAGTTTTTGTATTTCTAGGTGCAAAGATTAGTGCAGATGCAGACTGCAGCCAGGAAATCAGGAGACGCAATGTCCACTCTTGATAAAATAGTGAAGAGTAGAGACATCACACTGGCAATGAAGATCTGCATAGTTAAAGCAATGGTATTCCCTGTAGTCACCTACGGATGTGAAAGCTGGACCTTAGGGAAGGCTGAGAGAAGGAAAATAGATGCTTTTGAACTGTGGTGTTGGAGGAAAGTTCTGAGAGTGCCTTGGACTGCGAGAAGATCCAACTAGTCCATACTTCAGGAAATAAAGCCCGACTGGTCATTGGAGGGAAGGATATTAGAGACAAAGTTGAAGTACTTTGGCCACATAATGAGGAGACAGGAAAGCTTGGAGAAGACAGTTATGCTGGGGAAAATGTAAGGAAAAAGGTAGAGGGGCCGACCAAGGGCAAGATGGATGGATGGCATCCTTGAAGTGACTTGATTGACCTTGAAGGAGCTGGGGGTGGTGACGGCCGACAGGGAGCTCTGGCGTGGGCTGGTCCATGAGGTGACGAAGAGTCAGAAACGACTGAACGAATGAACAACAATAATAACAAAAGGGATTAATTTTGTCAAGGTATCTTCACAATGTATCTAAAGGGGTTTTAATCCCTTTGGATCATAAGCACAAGGCATGTAGCACCTCAGCATTCAAAACAATTCAGTGGGATCTTTCTAGGTTAATCTGAAATGGATGGCAGTCTTTGTGATAATGTGTTTGATCACAGGAGCCATGTTAACAGCAGCTGTTTCCTGGCTTGTCTGCAGTATCAAGCCTGTTTCTTTTTCCCATGCTCTGAGCTCCCTCAGCCTGCTCCTCATTCAAAAAAGTGGCTTTGAACTTTTTGTGGACTGCCTAGAGCTTCGGCCTTTTTTCAGAATAAGCAGGAAATGTAGATAAATGGATCCTGGGTCAACCAGGCAAGTGCCTAATGTATGAGCACTCCGTCCTGCTAACGTATGCTGTTTTCTGATGAAAGATGGATAGGTTGTCCCCAGGGGACATGGAAACAATGCAAGTTTATTACAGATGGATCAGTTTAAATGGTCTCTGTAATGCCAGAGTGTATGCATGTAGCTATTTCAAGTGATCTAGGCCCGGGAAAGGTGACCTGTTGTCAGACTGCAAAGCCTATCCTTCTTCACCATTGTCTGTGGCTGACAGAATTCTGAAGCCAAAAACATATGTCTAAGCCTGGTTTGTCAGTCTGATGTAGTGATGAGGGATGGTTTAGAGAATTCTAATTTTTGAGACCCAGTAAGAGTATGGAGGAGAAATTTTGTGGAGGAATGCATAGACCCTGAAAGACAGGCCCGGAAATTGTGACAGAATGTATTGGTTTGCTGTTATGCCTCTGTAATTTACCATTTGCAAGTAAACCATTGCTCTGTATTCTTTTCCATGTGAGTTTTATACATACTTCACCCAAAATGTATTACATTTGAAAAAAAATCTATTCCTGAAGGTGCTATTTCCTGTTTAATTGTATGATACTTACCGTATATTCTGGTGTATAAGACTACTTTTTAACCCAAGAAAATCTTCTCAAAAGTCAGGAGTCGTCTTATACGCGGGAGTAGTCTTATATCTTGGAGTAGTCTTATACACAGGAGTAATTTTATACCCTGGAGTAGTCTTATACACGGAAGTAGTCTTATGCACAGGAGTAATCTTATACACAGGAGTAGTCTTATAGAGCAGGTGCTGAAACTTCCAATTGGATTGGAGAATCAGTCGTTGCCACATATGGTGGGGGGAGCTCGAAAATGGCAATGGTCGTGTCCCTGCCGTATGCAGCGACTGTATGAAAGCATTAAGGGCGACACTGCACAAGTACAGGATTTGTGGACTTAATGCAGTCCCGATGGTGAGGTGAAGGGACACCACACCAGGAAGGTGTAAGTGAAGGGCGGAGCAAGCTGCAGGCACCCGGGGTATGGAAAAAAGAGATAGAGCTCTGGGCCCAGACAAACACACCTCTTTTACCTGTCTGACCTCCTCCTCTGCCTCTCAGATCTCACTCCTGAAGACTACAGTGAAGCTGCACATGTGAGAGATCTGAGAGGCAGAGAGGAGGTACAGTAATAGGAAAATTACCATATTGAAATAAAATCTGATGCTTTTTTTAAAAAAGGTGTGCGTTGGAAGAGGGGTAGTCTTATATGGTGAATATATCCCAAACTCTATATTTTAACTGGAAAAGTTGGGAGTCGTCTTATACGCCCAGTCGTCTTATATGCCGGAATATACGTTACTTTGAAAGTAGTTGTTCTACTCCAGAAACTTTATTTTTGTGGCTGCCACAAACTACTATGAATTGATTAAGACTCTATGAGGTAAAACTATAGCAAAATATGCTGCAGGATGTCCTATGAAAATAAAGTTTTTGCTGTTTAATAATACATTTTTCATGTTGTTGTGATAGAACCAATTAAGAAATGACATTTATAAACCAGGAACAAAAATCATGCTACATAGTGTTATTTAATGTATAGCCCACAGTACTGTTTATAAAACCAATAGAAACTTTTCCTGGGTGGGGGGGCTGTTAGAGAGGTCATTACAAACAGATTAGTTCCTCTGAATGTTTTTCTTGCTGGGGTTCAGGAGTATGTCACTGTCAACAGTTGATGCTCTGCATCTTCTCTGCCAGTGGTGCAGTGCATCTGCTCCAAGATTTAGTCTGAACCTCAGAGGAGCACTTAAGGAACTGAATCCATTTTGGGGATAACATTCAGCACCTTGAATAGCTCTGTTGGTGTTGCACTGAAACCTAGAATAGATTTGTTAGCCCACTGATACTGGAGTCATTGCTCACCACTACTTTCAATGACAGTATTTTCATTGTAAGAGGCTGCATATACCATGCTTTTAACAGTTGTCTATGGAACCCTGGTGACTTTTTTGTACGTAACTCAGTTTACAGCTTCAGAACACCAAACTTATACCTTTAGCTCCTGGACCAGTTTCTTTTTAAGGAAAGAGAGTGGGCTGATTTAGCACAGGCAGTCTCCGAGTTACATACATTAGACTTACAAATGTCTCATAGTTAAGAACAGGGCTGAGACAATAGGAAGTGAGATAAATCTACCCTTAGGAAGAGAAATTCACTCCTGGAAGAGTTATCATGGGGAAAATGTGTCTCCATTGAAGCTTTTTCACTAATCCTTGTTTCCATAAGAAGCCATTTTTTTCCAAATCCAATAATTATCACAGGGACAGAAAGTGAGGTGAAATCTTCTGAACAGGGGCACAGACAGCAAAACAAACCCCACAGGGATGTTAACTCTTTGCTGTGCCATCCAAAACATGCACGTGTGTACAAACACACATATATCTGGAGTTACACTTAAAATGTTCCTGTTCCAGCTTACATACAAATTTAATTTAAGAACAAACCCATAGAACCTATCTTGTTTGTAACTTGGGGACTGCTTGTACTAAGTATTTGTATGTGGGGGGTTGGGGGCACACCACACTTTTCTAACTCTTTCCAGGCCAAATGTAAAAAAGAAAAGAAAGAGCCTCTCACAAAATAAATTCAGAGGTCTGGCCCGAAAGTTACAGTGATCAGAGCTCTGCTACTGTGTTCAAGTGGCTAAGTAAACAATTTATGGCATTTCTTTTTTGTTTACTAAAGTGTTCACAGCTTTAACATCAATTGTTTTGCCAATATGTAATTATTGACTAAGAAACACCAGTATTTATGTATTTTACATTTGGTGAAGCAGCATTTATGTCATGCATTTCGTATTCTTAATGTAGGAGAGTAGGTTTAGATTTTTTTTAACTAGTTAAGCTTTTCTTAAGGTCTCCTCTGATCATGTTTTCAGATTTTGAAAGCATTGCACATCTTTAGTCTTAATCAGGCTTGAGAAGTCTGAAAGATAATGGCTGGCATTGAGTTTTACAGTTACAGATTAATAACGTAGAATTATGGATACTTAACTTCCCTGTGTTCGCTAATGTCTTACTCTAAAATGACATAAATGCCATCATAGCTCACTTGCAAAGCCAGCAATTAGATCAAGTGAAGTGTCAGGGTGCAAGGAGGAGCGAGAATGGCAATCAGAAGCAAGATCCTTCTTGCCATTTGCTTCCTGGTGGGAGAAGGTGGTTGGGAACATAATCTTCCTCCAGTCCTGAACAGACTTCAACTGACTCATTGGCTGGCTCTTAAGATGGGCTTTTAAGGGAGCGAGTGTCAGGTTGGGAAATATCCTTTAGTTATCAAGATGCAACTAAGTAACCATTGTAGTGTATTGGTCTTACTTTCTTGATTGCAAACATCCCCACAATTAAATTCTTCTTTTGCAGGAGCTGGTCATCATGGGCGCCCCTGGTTCTTACTACTGGACAGGAACAATCAAAGTACTGAATCTCACTGACAATACGTATTTCAAACTGAATGATGAATCTGTGATAGCTAAACGGTACACGTACCTTGGTGAGTGATACCTTGAGACCTGATTGTCTTGCATGCAGGGCTTTTTCCTCTGTGATCGAAAACTGTCAGCACATAGGTGCCTAATTATTTTATTCCTGATAGTTTATTCTTAGTGACAGGAGCAATAATTGTACCTGAAGTTTTTTGAATGATAGCTTGTACGCATCTAGACATCTGTGTCTGAACCATATTTGGGAAACATAGATGTCTAGTATTGTTGGATTACAGCTGCTTCAGCCCTAGCTGCCGTAAAAGATGGTCAAGACTTAGTGTTACAGTTCAACAAAAACTAGAAAATTAAACATTTCCTTTCTGGTCCTGGAATGTTAGAGTTACAGTGAAGTCTTGGTTATATTCAGAAATAACCACTGTGGTGCAAGTGGATGTTTATGAGAACCAGCACACCAGAACAATAATCCAAGACACCCCAGAAATTTCTGTGCATTATTGCACTACATCTATATAAATAAAAATGTAATGTTCATTTGTGGGATTAACAGAACCCAAAAACCACTGGATGAATTGACACCAAATTTGGACACAAGACACCTAACAACCCAATGTATGCACTTCACTTAAAAAATTGATTTTGTCATTTGGGAGTTGTAGTTGCTGGGATGTATAGTTCACCAACAATCAAAGAGCATTTTGAACCCCACCAATGATGGAATTGAAGCAAACTTGGCACACAGTTCTCCCATGACCAACAGAAAATACTGGAAGGGTTTGGTGGGCAGTGTCCTTTGGTTTTGGAGTTGTAGTTCACCTACATCCAGAGATCACTGTGGACTCAAACAATGATGGATCTGCACCAAACTCTACACAAATATTCAATATGCCCAAATGTGAATACTGGTGGAGTTTGGGGAAAATAGAATTTTGACATTTGGGAGTTGTAGTTGCTGGGATTTATAATTCACCTACAATCACAGAGCATTCTGAACCCCACCAACAATAGAATTGGGCCAAACCTCCCACACAGAACAGCCATGTGGGCCACAGCAACGTGTGGCAGGGGATGGCTAGTAACAAATATGCAGAGATGCTTCTGAAGACCACAACAAGGAACAAAGCAGAAAGTTTTAAACTGAGCTGTTGATAAGATTAGGGTTCTACTTCCAGTCTCAGTTGAGGATACTGTATGGTCCAGCCTACATCTGGACTGCTAACTTTACGTGGGGTGGTTTTCTTCTTCTAGCGTATGTCTGCACTGTAGATTTAATGTGGCTTGATACAAATTTAACTGCCATGGCTCAATGCTATGGAGTTTTGGGAGCCATAGTTTGTTGAGGCACCAGCACTCTTTGGTAAGAAGGCTAAAAACCTTGTAAAACAACTCCCACAATTCCATAGCATTGAGCCATGGCAGTTAAAGTGGTGCTGAACTGCATTAATTATACAGTGTAGATGCACCCCTGTACACTGGGGATTGTAGTTCTTTGAGTGCTGATTGAAATTCTATCAAGAAAAACTCAGCACCCTCAAAGAATCCCAAAAATCTCTATACCTTGACAAGCCCAGATAATTTATAATTATGTTTTGCTTGTAGCATAACGGTGGCTTTGCCTTATTTTGCTCCCCTTGATTAAAGTGCTTGTAACATATTTGGAAGATGGGTTAATCAATCATTTGGGGGCAACAAAATTCATTATCAATGATTTATTGTTGTGAAGAAAAGCTGCTAAGATAAGATGGTGACATTGACTTAGTTCAATAAACCCAATAAATTTAGGATTAGAAATGCAATGAATGCCACAAGAGAAATACTGTATGTCTAATGGTTTCTCTCTGGTCCCTAGTGACCACTTGGTTTGATTACGGAAGCATTGACAGATCCCCATTTTCCTCAGTTGCTTGGCACATTAAAACAAAGCCATGCTTTTAAAAAAAGAACTGGAAACTGGTCTCTTTTCTCCATCCCATTGTTATTTGTTTATTTACTTGTTTCTTTGGTGCTAAAAGAACCAAACACATTACATTATTTAGTGAAAGACTCTTGAGAATAGTGAAAATGAGAGATGGATGTATATGCTGAGGTTTTTGCTTTGAATAGTTTAAGCGTGCTGTTTACCATGTAGATAAAAGGCCTATAATTTACTACAGAGGGATAAAATAGTGGCTTGGATGTATAAAATGATGACCTTACAAGGCAAAAGAGCTGAATCTTTTGCATTGCAGACTCTTCTGGTCCCATAATATATCATTTTTATAGAGGAGCTAATAATGCTACACGATTGATTCTCCCTTACAAAACATTATTTCCCTATTTGATATACTGTATATTTTACTAAAGAGATTCTTCCTAAGGTGGAGGTCTTCTTACAGCATTCAGTGTGGATTTCTCCTTGCCTTCATATTGTCTTAGCAGTCAAGAAACACCAGCTGTGTTGGATCGTGTCAAGCGGGGTGGTGTCTAGTCTAGTTTTTTATTCTCACAATAATCAGACAAATGCCTATGGGAAAGTTGCAAGCAGAACATGAACACAAGAACACCATTTTGTTGATGTTCCCCATCAAACTAGTACTGAGAAGGTATTGTTTCTGGCAGTGGGAATAATATACAAACAAGAATCATATCCTCTCATGGGGTGTCAAACCAATTTTCGCCAAATATCGCATCAGCCTTGTGGTTGCCTTCAAAGGGCCGTTGAGTCCATGAACAGAAAATGAGGGCAAACTATAATGTTTTTACATAATGATCGGTGCTTTTTAGTTTTTACTCAGTTTAGGCCCACAGATGTTATTGAATTTGCAACCCAACAGCACTTGTTGGGTTGCAACAGCACTTGTCGAGAAAGGTTAAATGATATTTTAATATCAGACATCATATTCACAAGCCTTTTATCTAAATTCAAAATCCACTTTCATGAATAAACAGAACAAGCCATAGCCTCCAGATGTTGCTGTATCACAACTTCCATCAGCTCTAGTCATGATGACTCATAATGAGGAATGCAGGAGTTATAGTCCACATCTGGACGACCACATAAAATAACATGACAGGCTGGATTTGGCCTTGAATTTGACACATGTGCATTAGTTCAATTCCTTTTCAAAGCCACAAGGTTGGGTTCCGTCATTATATAGTTGGTTGCAACTATAAACTCACCTGAATTCATCCTAGAAGTCAATATGACTAAACTGAGACTATTGTACCTTATCCATATTATGAGATGACCCACTAGAAAAGACAATAATGTTTGCTTAAGTAGAAGGCATTATGAAAAGAGGAAGATAGTGTTATAAATAGATAGACTCAATCAGGGAAGCCATGGTTCTGAGTCTGCAAGACTTGAGCAGGTCTCTTGATGATAGGGCGACTTGGAGGTCTCTCATTCCTGGAGCCACCATACGTTGAAGACAGCTTTATGGCAGTTAATGACAAACAGCTGCTATAGTTTAACTGTGGACTGCAAGAAATGCATATTTCCTTTTGTCCTGAATCTACCACCACGTAGCATCAGTCTATGATTAGTACAGTACTTCCCAAACTCTAGTCTTCTAGGTGATGGGGATTTCATCTCCCAGAATCTCTGAGCATTGACCAAGGCAGCTGAGGCTTTTGGGAGTTGAAGTCCAAAACAGCTGAAAAACTAGAGTGTGGTAATCATTATTTTAGTATTGTGTCATGAAACAATATTCTCCTAATCCCCTTTCTCAGATAATATATACACAATTTCATGTTTCTCTTCCCTGTCCTATTTTACATGCCTTATTTGCTCAACCAACATTAAAAATGTGTTCATTTGCATGAAACTATGTACTGTTTCATGCAAATGGACACATTTTTAATGCTGGTTGAGCATCCTCCCTCAGTCTGGGAGGGAGCATTTTTCAGTTAGTGCTTCTCTTCTTTGTGTGTATATAGTTTTTAATCCCACTTCTCAAAACCAGTCCTTTTGAAGGCAGATGTTATTTCCCTTTTGCATCTCTAAGGCATCAGTGTAAGCAGTCATCATTTTATGTTTCGGAAAACTGGTCAATTGCTTGTCGATGTGCCATTCAGTTTCTTTGCTGAAGAAGTAGATTTCCAGCAGCATTATTGTTGTTTAAACGCAAGGATATTATATTTAGATTCCAGGCAGAGAAGAACAATCATTTTGCTTTCAACCAGATGGCTGACCTATTCTTTGGACCAGTTTCCTTTTCTAAATGTATTTTTCAATTCTTTTCTCTTCCCTGCTCCTAATCATGCTCTCTTTAAAATGTCCCATTCAGGATATGCAGTGACAGCAGGTCATTTCTCCCAGCCGATGACCACTGATGTCGTAGGAGGAGCTCCTCAGGATGGAGGTGTCGGAAAGGTGTGGCTGTTGATCAAACTTTAGCTCATGATGTTTTGAAAAAAATGAATAAGCAGATTGATGTTTTGAAAAAAATGAATAAACAGAAGGGTTGGGACCCAAGTCATTGAGGAACACCCATGGAAATAGTTTATTGCTAATGACATGGAGCTTCTTTAAACATGAGGGCAGGGGTGAATGGGTTGTACAATTCTTCAGGGTCTCCTGGGAGGGTGATATGACCTTAGGTCTTCTGAAGTTGCCCATCCCTACTTTGGAATCCAGTCATGGATATTCTGTATGCCAATGTTTCTTAAGGTATCTGACTGGAATTTTTTTTCTTCCAGTGGGCCAGAGACTTGTACTGTATTTATTCCCATTTATTCCCATTGGTTACAATTGTTTCTTCCTTTCCTGGAAAATATCTAGGCAACCGCAACAGGTGGTTCATGGTGTAGCACTGGTCCATGGACCACCACTTTGAGTAACACCGATTAATGGAAGACATTCAAACCATTTTGATAATGCTTGTCTTTCTTCATATTGCAGTAGTCTAGTACACAAGTACAAATAGACTGCTCATATAGCACTTGGGTTCTAGGAGATGACATCTGGCTTTAATTAACCTAAATCATTCAAAAGTAGGGTAGAATTTTAAACCTAGGATTTTCTGATTCACAGGTATATGAGCTAAATGTGATGGTTGTGTATTGTGAAGTGGCAGATGGTTAACTGTTACCACCATGGCATTAAATAGTTAACTCAAACATTATGTCCTACTGTATGAACTTGCATATACAGTGGGTTGTATTAGAGATTGCCCATGGAAGGCAAATGAGTGAATGTTGAACATTGTTGCCGTCTCCTCTTTCCATCACCTTCTTCTCCACCATGTCCCACAAGGCTCAAAAGAAACATTACATGGGATTGGCAGTGGCATGGTAGCAATGATAGAGAACTGAAGCGAAAGGAAGAGTTCTTGGAAAATCAGATGGAGGCACCTTTTATCCCACTTACAGAGGGTGCCTAAACTTCCTTGGATTTTCCCCTTCCTCCCCACTTCATTACATACCATCATCCACTGGGGGGGGGAGGGGGGAACTGACGACTAGGATGGAGAGGGTAGGGAAGTTAGTATTCATTGTTCTCTTCTCCATGTGTAAATCTTTGGATCCAACCCTCTGATATAATTTTTGGACTTCAGCTGATGGAATCTCTCAACTAGCATGGTCAAGTTACTTTTTGGATTCTGGAAGTTATAGTCCAAAAAAGTAACTTCCCCAAGTTTTGTTGAGGACCTGCATCTTTAGGAATTTAGAAAGCAGGCCATGTAGCATATTGTTAACTCTGGTAGGGGTTCTCCAGAGTTTCAGGAAAGAGAACCTTTGCATGGATATCAGGTGGTATACCACTGAACTGCAGCCCTGTGAACAATAACTTTTATCTTGTGATAGTCTAACTTGCAAATATATTTATCTAGCAATTGCTTTAATTTGTTATTGGTGGCAGGTAACAATATTATTTTAAACACCCCACCCCCCAAACACACACACACACACACAAATCCTTGGTAAATTGTTGTAGGCCAACATTTCACCACATTTTTTAAAATGATATGTTTACTATTGCTATCGTTGTTGTTTTTTTTACCATTTTTCATTTTTGTAGGCTTCAGCTTCTATTTGATGGAAGGACGGGTTAAAAATAATTTTCGTAAATGTATAAACTACGTATAAGCACACACAATGTAGTGTTGTTTTACTAATCAGTTGTGAATGGTGGTGGTGTTAATGACGTAATAGAACTAAATAATCTTTTTTGTTTCATAGATATATATTTTTCGCACAGATAAGAGGTTTGGGTCTTTAATAAAGATCTTCCAGGCTTCTGGTAAAAAGGTGAGTGAAAAAAGATTGTTTCTAAATTTTAATTGGGATGTGTCTATTTTTTTAATGTTACTTACTGGATTGAATTATATTGGGATTTTGATGACTGTATCTAGGCTTCAGGGCTGCAAGTTGCTTTCTCTTCTATTCAGAATCAGACTATGGGTTTTTCTGCCTGGGGAGAAGGAACAACTTACTGAACTAAGAGTTGTTCAGGCTGAGTTACTTGGCCACAACCAGAAGTTTTATATGATAGCAGGGAATCCTATTGGTTCTAATGCCCACTAATTTGGTAGCTGCAAGGTGACCTCCCTTTGGCTAATTTAAGTGATGTTGCTTGTAGTGCAGATAGATTCTGGCAAAGTACCATGATGGCACCATTTGCAATACACCCTCTTAGTTCTTTTTAGGAAATTGGAAACCACATTAAAGTGAATGGTGCCAGATGTGAATAGCACAATGTTTAGGTTCTCACAGTCACATTAGGTCACCCACTCTCCAAAGTAACACTGCAGTTGGATAAACAATATCTTTTTCCTAACTCAATTTGTCTGACTCCACAATTGTGAATATATTGTTCAGATCTTTCATTCACAGCCTGGCAGATTTTAAATAGCCAACAATGCTCTCTGAAAGTTTGATAAACAAAGAAATCTCCACAAGAGAAGTGAAATGCTAAATGTTTGACCTTGAACCCATAAAAGCAAACAGATTAGATAAATAAGCATTTTTGTCCTTTAGTTTCTCCACATCTTCCAACTGTATATTGTAAACTGTGATGCCTGCTGTTTTTCTGGACTGAAAGCTCAGTTTTGATTTGATAATTGATTATAAGTGTAACAGTTGCTGTTTGACCAATATTGTACATTGGCTGAAACATTTGGCTCACATTGGTCAAAGTCAACGCTGAATTATTGAATTAAAGAGGAGAAGGGAACACAACCATCCAGGATGTAGGCAGCTTATAATGTGATAATAATAGTGAACATAATGTTCTGTCAGTCCATTTTGATGACCTTTTTATTTCTGAGTCAACTGGTGCTCAGTGATAAAATAAATGGCGTCAGATGTGCTATTTGGCAATAGATTAGTGACATATGGTCCCACTTTCTCAGGTGGTGAATAGAAAGGAAAGTGTATTTTGCAGTAAAAATCCCAGAGCCAATGTAACCATTTAGGGCAGGTTCTTATGTAGATTGTCATATGGAAGTGGCACTAAATGCTTCCACCTGGCAGTAATCCTTGGTGGCAGTTGTTCATACCATTGCTGCAAATTGTGCAAGTGCTACCACCATTGAGAATATATGGTGGTTGGCTGAGTGTGCTAAACATAATGTGACCATTTTACTCAGATTCTTTGGGCTTCTCTGTTGCACTCCAGGACAGGAATAATCCTCTGACTTTAAACACCATACGTTGAATAGGAAAAAGCAACCCTTTTATTGAATATAAGTAAAAAACAATAAAGCAAAAAGCACTTTAAAGAAATTGGTAAATCCAATTAGGTAAGAAGATAAGCAGGAACAAATTATCCAAGGTGGAGTTCAGCAAAGTCCATAAAAGCAAAGTCTACACAATTCTAACACAATCCAGAAAACAAGAAATATCTTAGCATGAATCTTTAAAGCAAAGCTTCCATGAACAAGGACAAGAACTTGGCGTGATTCTAAACGATTCTTCATCTGACTACACATCCTAAACTTGAGACTTTTGTCCCCTCATTAGCTAGGTCACTAGCGGACAGAAATTGGTTTCTCTTTACTTGAGACTTTGTTATTGTTTTCTGTCGAAGTATGGCAGAGCACCGGAGCCATTGCTCAGCTCTCCTGTTTTGACTGATCTCTTCTCGTCTATCTCTTGGCTCGTTATCTACTTGCTCATTAATTTTTTCAGCTGGGCCAGGTGCCGAGCTATTTTCATGTTCTCTCTCATGAGAACTCTCTGGTAGCAATTCAGAAAGCACACCATCACCCCCACAGCCCTCAGGGACATTCTCATGGGAAACTACAGGGATCTCCTGGTCATTCTCTGCATCAATAACACTGACCAAACCATTGCCATCTTGAAACTCATCTTGAACCTCATTAACTTCATTCCCCACATCCAAAGCACCCTGATCCTGAAACACAATCACAGGCTGAACTCCAACATTCTGTATCAAATAATAAGGCTGTCCCATTGTTAGAATTAGACGACTACCTCAGATAGTAGATGCTGGCTGACCCGGGAAATAACTCTAAATCTGAGATTCTCTTTGAGCTATGGTGTTTTCACCCTGGACCCACTTTTCTGTTTCCACTCCTGTGATGTCACGGCCATGAGGGCAGCTTTTTTTTTTTTTCTCATGGAAGCCAGCAAATGGATCTCCCTATGTATCTGCTTTGCTCCAGTGCAGGATAAATCTCATTGCTGTGCAATCCCAGAAATTGCACATAGACACTAGGTGATTAGGTGAAATAAGGTTAATTTTTATTACCTGTTTAATAAAACAGGTAAATGGGGGGTGGGGTGATGATGTGGGAGTGATTGGCATGGTAGGTCTAACCCAGGCCATACACACTCCTTCCCCCCCCCCCCACTCTTTTGATACCTATCAAAGTATCTTCTCACCTCCTTGTGCATTTAGGTGACTATTAGCTTTGTTTGCCTTCCTTTATCATAAATTCTCTTGTTTGACTAGTGATGGGCCCTGTTATCTCCCATAGCTAGAAGAGATTGAGTGGAAAGTCAATCTCTTCCATCTGTTGTGGGGCTCTCAAGACTGCCCTGAGCCCGCTGGACTGGAAGTTGTCATGAAGGAAAAGGGGGAGAAGGCCTTGTGGATTACAATGACAACTTAACCACTTTTGATAGATCAAAGACTGATCAGAGCTTTTAACCTACTACTAAATTAGAATTAAATTGTCACTCTTGTTATCGTCTCTCCCTGAAATGGGAAGGTGTAACATCTTCTCCTTTATATTGYCGAAGGCTTCCATGGCTGGAATCACTGGGTTGTTGTACATTTTTTGGGCTATATGGCCATATTCTAGAAGCATTCTCTCCTGATGTTTCACCTACATCTATGGCAGGCATCCTCAGAGATTGCCTGCCATAGATGCAGGTGAAACATCAGGAGAGAATGCTTGTAGAACATGGCCATATGGCTTGAAAAACCTACAACAACACATCTTCTCCTTTGTTGCCTTTAGCAGAGTATCTAGGATGGGTTGTGTTTCTTTTTTTTTCTTCTTCAGCCCTTCAGATGTTTTGGACTTCAACTTCCACAATTCCCAGCAGACTACCAGCTGTCAGGAATTGTGGGAGTTGGTTTAAAATAATCTTTATTACTTTTCATTAAAAACATACAATAACTGAGTGGGTAGGGGTAGCAGGGGGGGGGGTGAAGGAAGATAGGGGGGTAGTAGTATAGAAAGAATAGAAAGTAGTCTGATTTATGGCTGCTAAAAAGAAAAGATAATAAAGTGCCAGGTGTGRAAACGGAAGTTTGAAAAAGTGACTGTGAGGGAGGGGGGATGTGAAAGTTATGAATCTGGCGATGACTTCCCGGTATCTTCCGGAGGTTCTTCCTATTCCTTCGTACCTTCTCTCTGTTGTGTTTTTCCTCTGGATGGGTTGTGTTTCAGCTTGACAAAATAGAACAAAAGGGACCCTTGCTCACCACCTAGTTGCCACGTAGTTGCCATTTTGACACTTTTGTATTGAATTAACAAACTAATTGTACAAAAAAAAATCTTAGTGTCCTTGTCAACTAATTAAAAACAATAGTTTGTATTTTGCATTATTCTTGAACATTAACGAAAACATATTCTTGATTCGCATTTTTCATCACACTGAAATGAACATAAATTCAATTATTTAAATGGTAAGCTCTATACTATGTCCAATAGTTAACTGGACTGGGAATGTGCACTGATGGGAAAGTGGGTTAAGCTCTTCAAATGGCTTTGGTTCAAGGTTCACCTCCTTCATGGAGTTTTAAAAAGACAACCACTGATGTCAGTGAAAGCTGTTTAATATGTTTTTTAAGCCCCTAAAGTGGAATTTCGAGTGGAATTTCGAAATGAAAACTAATTGGGAATTGAAAGTTTCCTGTAATTTCCTCACCCATATTCCATTTGACATGGACCAGGACTATATATGGACTAACTGCCCTGAGTCTTCATGGGGAGATAGGGCAGGATACAAATAAAGTTTTATTATATTAGTTTTATTATATGCTTATTTGAATATAAAAAGAAAGAAATCCTAAATTGAATGCTTCCAATGCAGTGCATGCAGTGTATGCTTTAACTCTTAGCCCTTCAGCAGGCTAGTTGGTATTTGTTGTTGTTTTATTCCATGTGCACTAATGGCACATGGAAATAAATGATAATACTGTAATAGTAGCTGTAATAAATACATAAATAGTAGTCTAACAACTTGTGTAAATATCTTGCCACTTAGATTATTACTCTTAAAGGATGTCCTGTGTGATGTAATAATTTGCTATCTGCCTATATGAAATGATTCCTAATGTGTAGTAGTGAGTCAGTTTTAAAAGATACAGCTAAAGGTTCAAGTTTTCCTCCCTCTTATTTAATGAAAACAAGACAGAACTTTAAACTGGCCCAATGTCTCCCTCCTCCCAAAAAATATCCCAAAGGTGGTATGAGATAAAGCAGCCAGTGGCTTTTTCTGTTGCATACAAAGAAAAGCATAAACAATTTCCTCTTGTGTGTGGGCAGATACTGAATGCTTTGTTGTGACTCGGCTTGGTTACAGATGGGCTCTTACTTTGGCTCCTCCTTATGTGCAGTTGATTTGAATTCGGATGGACTTTCGGACCTCCTGGTTGGAGCGCCCATGTTTTCAGAGATCCGGGACGAGGGCCAAGTCACTGTCTACCTCAGCAGAGGAAATGTGAGTATGTGACGGAGCCATGTAAATGGCCTGGTAAATCCTTTTAACTCTCATCTCAGATCTACTACATGGCAAGTTCTGCTTAAGGGCATTGAGCAGATGTGAGGCTGTATGCCCATTTGTTTTCAAAATGTGGACTGGTTTGAACAAAACCAGCAGAAATCTCTTGGATTTTAAAAAAACAATTTGCTGTATATAATTCTATGATTTATCAAATGCCTAATTTCCGAAGCGTTCCTTAGTTTATTATACCAAAAAAGCAGAGCCCCATAGCGCTTTGCAGAAGAGTGAAACAGTCCTTGATTTTTATTTATTTCTGTTTTTATATTAAAACAATCCCAAAGAAACTTGTGAATGCTGTTTATAGATCTATAAAACATGTAGCATAATATATCATTAAAAATAAAAGCAATAAAACATACAGCAGTTATAAGTTGCATGTGGCAAGAGAAATCCAAATTCCCTTCATATGAAGGCATCCCAGAAATGCATTGAAATAAGCATTTCTTATGGCTCATTGAGAACAGAGACAGATCCAAGAAGGCTTTGGTACCACATCAGAAAAGACTCCACTCCGAGTACGTATCTGCTACACATTTTAAAAGTAGTCATCTGTAGAGTAGGGCTGTGGGAACAGATTGATATGGGCATCTAGAAATTATACTTTCTCCCTCAAACTCCCCTGGTTTTATGCAGCATTTATTTATTTATTTTATTTACAGCATTTATATTCCACCCTTCTCACTCCGAAGGGGACTCAGGGGGATCACAGAACACATACACGGCAAACATTCAATACTGTTAAACAGACAGAACAGACAACAGATAGAGGTATACGTTGGCATTTTCCCCCAACTTCTACGTTCTGGAGGTTGTGCTTGATTCTGGCCACAGGGAGGTGCTGTCGCTCTGTCCTCTATGTCGAAGAGCCCTTGATCACAGACTTCCTCCTTTCTTTGATTGCCAGCATTTTCTGGTATTTCCTTTTTATGGTGCTGTAAAATATCTCCCTGCTGAGGTAAAGGTAAAGGTTGCCCCTGACATTAAGTCCAGTCATATCTGACTCTGGGATGTGGCGCTCATCTCCATTTCAAAGCCGAAGAGCCAGGGTTGTCCATTGTCCATAGACACCTCCAAGGTCATGTGGCCGGCATGACTGCATGGAGCGCCATTACCTTTCCGCCGGAGCGGTACCTATTGATCTACTCACATTTGCATGTTTTCGAACTACTAGGTTGGCAGAAGCTAGGGCTGAGAGCGGAAGCTCATGCCACTCCCCAGAATCGAATCCGTGACCTTTCGGTCAACAAGCTCAGCAGCTCAACGCTTTAACCCACTGCGCCACCGGGGGCTCCTACCTCCCTGCTGAAGCGGTGCCTAATGTCTCTACTCACAGCTCACAGTTATTTTCAAACTGCTTAGATTGACAGTGAGCTGGGCTGAAGGTCGGGTGCTCACCCCAACCCAGGCTTCGAACTGCCAACCTTTCGATTGGTGTGATCTATTGCTGCTGGTGATTAATCAGCTGTGCTAAAGCCCGGCCCTAAATTAGCCTAGCAAATAAATAATACAGAAGGTATAGGGATATCATAACTCTTTGCAGTGCATAGAAGAAATCTGCATTTGTCTGTAATAGGTTGGTTCCATTCCACCCAGTGGTATGAGTCTGTAACTTGAAATTAACATCTGAGACTCAGAACAAAGCAGTGTAAACGGGGGGCTCAACCCATTATGCAAAGTAAGCATTTTCAGTATAGTTGATTTTGCCCAGGGGCGCTCTTCGGGGAAAATAGACCTTGACATATGCGAGTTGTAGTTACTGGGATGTATAGTTCACCTACAATCAAAGAGCATTCTGAACTCCACCAATGATGGAATTGAACCAGATATGGCACACAGAACTCCCACTACGAACAGAAAATATATATCAGTGATTGGGGGGGGGGGGGGGGCAAAATACTGTTTGCTTACAGTTGAAAATTACCTAGGGCCGCCTCTGAGTGTAAATTACCATGGAGAGTATCCAGGTATTGGATACTACTTTAGATTTTGGAAGGAACAGGCCTTATGTGACTGCAGGTGATAGAAAGATTCTGGTTTGGCCAAAGTTTATATAAATACAGCAAGGCTAGACCTTTGCTTGATCAGCAGAACAGTATTTGCAGTTTGCTGTACTCCGCAATATTGCACTCCTAACTTCAGGAACCAGGTATAGATTTGGATGTGTACATCTATTATCCTGTCTGGGCCAATATCAATTACATATTTTTTTAATAGTGGAAAGTTTATTTTGTTTCTATTTAATTTATATCCTGTATTTTGCCTGTAAAGACTCAACTCAATTTTCAACACATTAAAAACAAACTATAAATTTCTACTGATGCAATATCTATCTATCTATCTATCTATCTATCTATCTATCTATCTATCTATCTATCTATCTATCTTAGACACACAAGTTCAAAGTGTGTGAAGCATAGACCTAGTTGGAAGACTCAACCAGTCAAATCTGGCCTACAAGCTGTAGTTTTTTAAAATCTAGTTTATAAAATGCATGCATGTAAATGCTATTGATTGGTTTAATTACAGAGGATACGTAGTATTCCCCCATAAAATGAGGTATTTCCCAAGTGTCCATAAGTTCTAATAAGCAAAACAAAACATCTTAACACACAGACTGAATAAGATGTGTGCTGTTGCTTGTATTCTGTTCACCCTTTTTATGTAGGTAAATACACCAGAAAACAGAAGGAGCTTTGGGTAATGCACTCATAAAGCAACTTTCATAAGATAGCTTTATGTTAGAAACGGGAAAATCTCCCAAGTTTACCTTCTTTCGCATTTGGATGCTTAAAGTTAGAAATTTTTCCCATTCTGAATGTACAGAAATTTGCACATTTTGGTAAATTCTTCAAATATGATCTTGCTTTCATTCGTGGTTTTAAAATGTAATATTCACATATATTAAAGTTGAGGAGTGAAGGCAGCAGCCCTAATTTACCCCCAGCCTCGTTGAGCACAGCGATTCCAACCCAGACTTAAAAAATTAATTACTTAAATCCCAGGGACTCAGTAAACTAATCTGTCTTTTTTGTTTCTCCCAGATGTGAAATGTTTTAACACAAGCTTTGTTGGGTTTCCAGTTGTATCCATTCCACATTGTGATTATTTGTATAACTTCTTATAAAGATTGTTCTGAACTGAAATGTTTATCTCTTTCTTTTGTAAACAACGGTTTATTTAAAAGCGATTTTGCTTGTTTTCATCAAGACATGATATGTCACATATTGTTGTGGTTTAACTTGGCCATTCTTATTGCTGGAAAGTCCCCACTTTGTTCATGTTGGGCCAAGTTAACCTGTGTTAAAGTGGCTAATGACATTTTAATCCAATTCCTCCTCTTATTGTTGAAGTGTGGTGTCCATAAGGACCAGCTTTTGCATAGTTTGGATGATGGAAGAAAGATTAAAATAACCTACAAACAATTGTGAGAATTGAATCCCTGGGAAAATGGGTGACAGGAAGTGCCATTCACTTTGATTTTGTGGCAGACCCATAAAGTGTAGTGTTCTCAAGGAAATAAATGACTAGATTCTTCCCGTTGCCCATTGCACAACCACAGTGACCCAACAGTAGCCTAGGAAAATAATCAACATAAGTTTCCTGTACTCTAAAGGACTATGACATCTTGGGAAGGAGGTTGAGCCATATGGGATTTCTCAGAGGAGCTTCTGTTTGTGAAAATGTATCTTTTCTAAATAAATGCTATCTGAGCTTTGGTTTCTAATGTAAGGTCCAAAACAGCGACTGTTTAGATAAGTTAAGGTCAAACAGGCACAAAAGCATGCCACAAATGTGAGTCCTTCTTCAGACAGAGAAAGAGAGAGCTCAGTTGTAAGGACCAAAGATTAAAGTATCTGAAATGTAGAACAGTTTAGGTGAATTGACAAATGTTCCTTGGATTGAGTGAATTAATCCTCCTGGACTTTAAGACGTAAACAATGAATTTTGGAAATACAGAGTTAGTGCCTGTTTGAACTACATAATTATTTGTCTCCAGTCAACTAGACAATGGAGATAACAGAGACGCAGGGCAGTGTGATGGCTTGATAGTTGACTGCAATTCTAGAGACCAGGATTGTTTGATTCCCCACTCAGCCATGAAAACTTACTGGGTGAGTCACACCCTCTCAGCTTCAACCGATAGGTTTGCCTTCAAGTTGCCATATTTCAGAAATGTCTTGAAGGCATGCAATGATAGGATTAACTCAAATGTTCATTCCTTGGTGTCCCCTCTATAAATTATATTCAAGTGTTGTTTGTTATTTGCGGTTTGCCCTTCTTCTTAGGAGTTCAGTTAAAGGGACACAAGTTCACTGTTTCCATCCCCACAATAGCCCTATACTACAGTGATTTCCACAAGGACCCAAACTATTCAATTTGATTCTGCTTCCCTGGAGACTAGGACACGGAAGAATGGCTTCAAACTACAAGAGAGGAGATTCCATATGAACATTAGGAAGAACTTCCTGTGAGAGCCATTCAGCAGTGGAACTCTCTGCCCCAGAGTGTGGTGGAGGCTCCTTCTTTGGAAGCTTTTAAACCAATGTTTCTCAACCATCCTAATGCCACGACCCCTTAATACGCTTCCTCATGTTATGGTGACCCCCAACCATAAAATTAGTTTTGTTGCTACTTCATAACTCATTTTACTGCTGTTATGAATAGTAAAAGATTGGGGGAGGGTATTGATTTTCTCCTGGGGGAGTTGTAATTGCTGGGATTTATAGTTCACCTACAATCAAAGAGCATTCTGAACTCCACCAACGATGGAATTGAACCAAACTTGTCACACAGAACTCCTATGACCAACAGAAAATACTGGAAGGGTTTTGTGGACATTGACCTTGAGTTTGGGAATTACAGTTTACCTACATCCAGAGAGAACTGTAGACTCAAACAATGATGGATCTGGACCAAACTTGGCACAAATTCTCATT